GGGGATCACCATTAGGGAACCCACCGCTCAACCCGAGCGAACCTTACCAGCAAAGCCAATAACATAGAGGGTGCCACCCGAACAAGCAAGTCCAATTGGCAATGAACCTGCCCCCATCGACCAGCAAGGTGCAGGTGAGCCAATTGCTGCTGGAATTACATGTAATGAGCCCGCACCCATTAACCAGCCGGGGGCGGAAGAGCCTACTGCTGCTGGACCAAAGGAGGAGCGGGAGACTATTATCACCAAAGAAACCATTGACGGAATCGATGTCACAGTGGAATCTTACAAAGAACAATCCATAGAGGTCCCCGCTGCCATAACCGCTAAAGCTGCCAGTGAAACCGAAGAGGTCGAGGCAGTCATAACAACTCTTCATATCCTGCAGGTGTCTCCACAAGCGACAAAGACAACACTGGGGATGACAGAAGGAGAGCCAATGCCATACAATCCCAAAATACCAGTAGAAATTGGAACACCTTTAGAAACTTTGACTCCGGCGTCAACAAAATTAGATAAAACAATCTTCGATGAGGAGAAGGATGAAGAGGAAAAGAGATTTAGGGAAGAACAAGCTCAGTTGCTCGCCACGATACAACAGTTACAACAAAAGCGACAACATGAGCGACAAAAAAAGAGGAAGATGAAGGTGTTGGCCAAGTTGCTAAAGTATTGGAAGCCGCTGACCCAAATCCAGCTGTGATACAGGAGGTATCTAGAAAGAAAGAAAGCAGAACAACTGGAGTACGAGGCCACGAGGCAACTTGTATTCTTGAGGGAGGTGACCCCCGAACCAGCACCGGATTCCAGGGATAAAAATGAGCTAATGGACATCAGTTCGGAGTCTGAGAGACAGTCACCTACACCCGCGGAGGCAAGTGCCTCAACCTCCAACGCCGCATTTGAAACATTAGGAAAACGACTGGATGAACTCGACAAGGCCATGCTCAGCCAATACATAATACTCCAATCACTAATAGATACATATGCAGGGAATTTGGCTGAGGTACTGACCATTGGCAGAAAGATGAGCGCCGCACTAGAATCGCGCATAGGAGAGCTGTAGACTCAAGCTACAAGCATGGGTGCAACTCAAACAGAAATTCTGAAGGCACTTGTGGCCATCATCCAGCAAAACACGATCCTTATGAAACAACAACTTGATACAACGAAAAGTCTCCATCGAATGGAGGAACTAGTGCGGCAGATGATGAAAAAATCACCCCCGGGACAAGGACCCTCAAGTGAAAAAGAGAAATGATTAGGATCCTCTCCCATGTACATAATTTTTGGAATCGGCAAGGGTTGTACAGAATGATCAATGACACAATAATTTTTGGTAACAAGTGGAATTTATCTTTACTGTATGCCTAACATAATCTGAAGCATGTGTCTTTATTTGAGATACTTTTAATACCTCGGTGCATTAGCCCTGTAATATGTTTTAGAGTAAAGTTAGATAGCTTGCAAACACCAGACTGAGTAATCGTCTCTCAACCTTTATCAATAATGCGAATATTGAGTTAAACTAAGTAACAATTGATATGACTTGTAAAGATTAGTGCCCCTTTCGTTTCAAATTCTCCACACTCAGTAGGGCAAGCGAACTTTTGTCCATCGACTTCGTTCACAAGAGATAACTTGAAAAGAGAAATCCTTAAATATGGTTTAAGACACAATGTAAGCAAAGCAGGGAGGACCTATTACTAGAAAGGGAGCTGAAAAGGCCTAGGTGCGCAAAAATCACATAAGATCATGAGCAGACACAATGTTTGTTTTTGAAACTCTTGATCCCAAAAAAATAAAATAAAATTCGCACCCTTCGGCTGAAGGCTCCCTTAATCAAAAAAATAGTCCCCGCTGAGCGAACATAGTAGACGATACCTGGATAACCTCGCTCATGTTAGATCAAATGACAAGTTTGAATACTTAAGGCTCAATTGTCTCTATTCGAGATTCACATTATTCCCAATCATGGCATTGATCTTAAGCAACACTTGACTGCTTGAACGGAATAACTCTTTGCTATCATAATTTAGTATGTTCGAGGACGAACAAAGGTTTAGTGTAAGGAAGTTTGATGACTCCAAATATGAGCATATTCTCCGCTTGAAAAAACTATGTATTACTTGAATTTCTGTATAAAAACTATCACAAAATATGATTTATGACATACTTTATTGATCTATCTCACTTGGCATGATCCAGGATTGGTTTGTTGAGATTATTAACAATTTTTGCCTTTTTAAACGGTGATTCTGGTCCCGAAAAGCTAAGGCAGAAGAGGCAAGCGATAGCTTTTACCGCTCGCAAGCGATAGCCGCCTCCGCTCGCAAGCGACGCTCTATCGCTCAGGCCAACGACCAAACACCCACCACAGCGATGCAACGGAAACTCAGTGTAAATATCGCCTAAGTGTCCAACCCGCAGCGGTACAGCCATTCCACTACCATCCAACACAGACAAACTCGCTTAGCTGCGCTGATGCCCTCCAGTCTTCCGGCAAACGAGGAAGATCTGCGCCTTACAAGCCCAAGCAAGCGAAGCGAGCATCCTGGGAGTTATGGCCAGCAACTGCTTCAACAGAATAACCGTCACCAACTGCCTAACTTCCTAGCGGTTGGAACTACTTTGTAATTGCTTGCAACTGCTACTTCCACCAACTATAAATAGGGCCAGATATCTATTTGTAAAATATACTTCGAGAGGAGTATACTAGCACTTCATTTTCGCGCATTCTAGGTGTCTTCCTGTCTCCCGAGAGCTCCAACCCTGTAAGGGAGTTCTCAGCACGAATGGCTAAGGGAGTTGAGATTTCTCTTCACCTTTGGCCACCACTTTACTGCTTACTTAGTTTAGTTTATCGCTTTAATTATAGTTTTTGTAGAATTAGAAGTTCCTGCTTTGGTAGTAAGTAATGAAATATCATTTGTTCTTCATCATCACTTCTTCCATACTTTTCACATTATATAAACCCTAGTTGTAAAGAATTTCATTTCGCTGAGAAAGAACGCATAAAAATTGATTATTGAAGCCTTGTCTTTTGTCACAAATAGATTCAAGGTAGTTCAATGTAGTTAAGTACGCGGGAGCCTTGTCGACCTGCTTAATTATTGGTCTTAATTCAAGTTTGATTAAAAAGATGTAATATAAGGGTAAAGCCACTAATGAGACAGAAATCATAATAATTAATGGGACATAGGCGGTAGTCTATTGGGTCATAGAAATTCCTAGTAACAGTAGGTCTATTGGGTCATAGAAATTCCTAGTGACAATAGGGTTTCTTTCTTATAATATTTTGATTTTGGGAGTCATTGAAGTCTTGTTGTAAATCTCTTAACGTCAAGTACCAGCGATAAAAATTCTTTATAATCTGGTTTATATATTTACATTACTCTCTCTCTCCGCTTTCGTATTATACATATATGTTTTGATTAAACCCCAGCACCATCCAGTCATTTCCTCCAGAAAAAATCTAGTCATTGAGTAACGCACAGTTCAGATACAACACCTCTCCATCACTCTCTACCGCTCGATTTATATAAATATATATATTGTGTCATCCGCTCATGTTCCTCTCACTCACCCATCGCTGGCATCTATCCCGCTCACCACCGCTCCGTTCACCGTCGCTCACATTTACCGCTTTCCTTAAATTTCATAGCTTTAGGTTCAGGCTCGCTGCAAAGCGGGTCCTCTTACTGTTTTTTAGCTGTTTTCACTAGATCAAGATTTGATTTAAATTCACGACTTAAAATTCCTGTGTTCGACCTGGAAACTCACAACTTAAAGAGTATAAATAATGATGATAAACGATTCATGTTCTACAACCACAACTTTTTGCTATATTTGATCGCTCACAATAATTCCTTACATCTCAAGTTTCGAACAAAAGTTCTCTGTATTTGAATATATACCAAAATCGTGTTATCAATTGATGTAACAACAAACTAATCAAGTGCAAACCCTAGCCTAAGCAGCTTGTTTGAACTTGTCAAATCCGGTCTAAGATTACTTGTATGGGCTTTTAAGGCTCATGTTGAATACCACCACCTCCAAACAGTGGTTTTGAACATTGAATTTATGCACCAAGACTCTAAATAGATCCCCTTTTTTAGGGGAAAGGGTGCAATAATTTCATAGTTTGGAAGTACTGTTTTATGCTTCAAAATAATATATATATTTTTTTCAGCACTTAATTACACAAGTTCACCATTTTCCAATTGTTTTTTTATTTCCTTCCAATACTAAATAACTGTACATAGAGCAGAAAAACATCTTTTACGTTTCTAATATTTTACCAAAAGCAAGTTTATCATTTTTTAGATTCACAGATAAAAATTGTACTTTAACATTACATTCTGTCACTAAATTCTTCTCTTCTTGTCATTGTAGGCTTGGGGTAAAAGAATTAGTTGTTTTATTTGATGTCGGAGAAGTTATAACTGAAAGAAGGTAAAAAAAATATCATAACTCACTACTCTCACTACTAAAAAAACAGTTTTATGCTACGCCGAAAAATTGTAACTAAAACTTGTTTTTTGTGCAAAATACAATTTTTGTGACGCCGGAGTTACGACTTATTACCGTAATATATACTCGCGTAACAAATGTTTTTTATCACACAATTTTTTGTAACAATTGTGGATGGTCAACGTTGCTTGCCCACGCATGGAACGAAGATTGTTATGAATTTTTTTACGCTATTTCTTCGTCATAATAAATCGGCCCGGCCTGGCCCGTGCATGGGCTTGGCTTTTGCTACATTTTTTGTTACGCCACATCGTTCATAACAAAAAAGAATCGGACTTTTCGCACATGGGATTGGCTTTTGTTACGATTTTTCTTACGCAATTTAATTCGTCGAAAAAAATTAAAAAATATTTATTACGAAACTATAGCGGTAATATGAAGGACTAAGTCATTCCATTACAATCAACACCATACATCACACTACAAATTCTAATAAACAATAAAAATAATAAAATATACAATTATTACTTAACCACAATACACATTAAAAAATAATTCATTAGTTCTTATGAGCAATTCATACAATATCTCATTTCAAGGCGACACACCTAAAAAAAACAAAAAAGAAAATTAACCATCGTGAGAGTAAAGTGGAAATGAATCCCCGACAAAAGTATGCAAGAACCAGGCCAATGAAGAAGCTGCATTGAAATCATGATAGTATATCAGTCTAAATTTCAAATTATTAAATCAATGTATTGAAATACACTGAAAAAGAAAAAAAAAAAAAAAAAAAGAATTCCTATTGTTGACAATTCTATAGGTGAAATAATTACAAGAGGTAAATCTACGGATTCCTATGAAAGCAATGGCCATAACTGTTTCATTTTAAAGATGGAGTCAAAGAAAATGAAAAAAAAAAAACTCTAGAAGACAAATTTACAACTAGTATGAAAAATAAACTATCGGGATTTAAGGACAACAGGTTGTTCGGATCAACAGTAGACAATCTTGTAAAAGAGATGAGAAAACAATTTCTTCTTTCCCCCAGTTCTAATCGAAGTTAAATGCCAATTCAAGCCTTTATGGCTAGAAATATCTCCCATGGTGGGAGCAAAAAGAAAGAGTAAAGCTGCGATTGAAGCGGTACATAATTTATCTTCATCTTGATAGGGTTTAACATTGGATTGATGGATTGAATAAACTGCTTGTTTGTGTGCATTACTTATTGATGATTGTGATGATTGATTAAAATTGTATTGCATAGATTAAGGGGAGTAGATTTCATGTCAAGCCCCATAACGATGAATATGGTTTGTTTGTTTGATGTCTCCCAGAGGGGTAATGGATTGCATGTCCTTAGTTTTATGTGTTTATGCTTGGTTGAGGGGAGTTTATAATAGTCCCTAATGTTTGTTTCCTGTGTGCAATGTTGAGGAGATCGTCCTTACTAAGGTTGGTAAACATCAACAAAAAAGGGAGATTGTTCAAAGTGAAATATATTTGTTTTTTAGTTTTAGTTGATGTTATCTGCAGATAAATTGAACATGTGGATAGACACGGCCCAATTTGTTTTGAGCTCAACCAAATAAACAGATAGTGCAAAAATGGATCAAACTAATGAAGACCCAGCTAAATTGATAGAGAAAGCTCGTTGGTCCCCCCAAACATTGTGTATTCTAAACATCGGTTGTAACAAACTTAGTAGATGTGAGAAAAAGATAATGGAACAAAAGATTTTATTTTTTGATTGAGTTTGTTAGATGGAATATTATATTGTTTTCAAATGTTAGCTTCATGATAAAATAGAAATGATGCGAGGTAAGAAAAAATAAATTTGAGATAAAAGATATCAATCGAAATGTACAGAACATTCTGTTTGTCTCTATGAAGAAATAGGGAGAGATTATTGAACATTAAGAGAGTTACGAGTGGATAGATTTTGAGTTGGGAGAACAATCAAGAAACGGATGTATTGATTAGTGTAACTCGATTGTATCTATATATTCTTGTCCTTCAATGGTTTCGATAGTAAATTTCACCTGGATTGAAACACCAAGATGTAAGTTAGTTAGTGCCGAACTCAGTTATCAATTCTTCTATATTTCTTGTTCTTGCCGTCACATGTGTGTGTATTCGCAGTCTAATATGAGAACGAACTACCAGTCTCTATTGTGAGAATTTTTTGTTTTTTGTTCTTAGTGCTGAGATATTGCTGTTGTTTGGCTTTGATCGATTTTGGGGCCAATAACAACGACGACGACAACAACAACAACAATAATAATAATTCACAACCGGTACTACGTATTGCTAACATGCATCATTAAACTCACGAAGGAATTCATGGTTTAGACATTACAGATACAAGTAGCTTTATAACTCCGAACTTATTTGGTATCTCATAGCCTTACCATCAAAAGCTCTGAAAGAAATGGATGATAAAATATTATTTTCAGTTTTCAAGGAATGGATAGCTACGAGAATGGGTGCAGATACAATTATCTATAAATATTACAAAAATAATACTAATACATATATAAATAATAAAATAATATATATATATACTTGATCTATTCAAAAAAATAAATAATTCAACATAAAATATACAGTATTTTTTATATTAACAATTAAATTTTTTATACTTAGTATAAAAATAAACTCATTGAAAAATATAGTAAGTGAAAGACCTTAGTTTTTGGTTAAAAGAGACAGAAGAATAAATAAGAGGAGTGTACCTATTGATTATTGAATATCGGTTTTATGTCCCTTGAAAGATAAAAGGTTCTTGGTTTGCATCCTTTCTGAGAAAATTTATGAGCTCTGCCTTCGCCGCCTCCATTACTGTCTTGAAGTCCATATGAGCATACCTGCCCCTGAAATTCAATCAGTTTCACCACTTGATGGAAGGCCTAGGAAAATCAAAAATCTTCCACGAAAGAATTCAATCAGTAGAACCATGCAAACAATCCAGATAAACTGTTTTTTTTAAGTCCCGTAACTGGACCCCCTTATCATTTTAGTCCCGTAAGTGGAGCCTGTCGCAAACTAAATCCCATAAGTGAAAATTTCACTGTTTTAGTCCTCCGGCGCCGGAGACGCCCGCGTGGCGGCGCTGACCTGGCGGACACGTGGATTTTTTTATTTTATTTTTATTTTTTTTAAAACTTATTTTTAATTTTATTTATATATTTTTCATTTTTTAATTTGATTTAATTTTAAAAAAATAAAAAAATTGAAAAAAATAAATAAATCCACGTGTCCGCCAGGTGTCGCTGACCTGGTGGGACACCTGGCGGACACGTCACCTCCGGCGAGCCACGCGGGCGTCTCCGGCGCCGGAGGACTAAAACAGCGAAAATATTTCACTTATGGGACTAGTTTGCGACAGGCTCCACTTACGAGACTAAAATGATAAGGGGGTAACACTTACGGGAGTAAAAAAAACAGTTTACCCAACCATCCAAAAGAAAAGGTATTCAATATATGCATAAGAGATGCTTATTTTTTCTTCTGGGAGTACAATACCAGAAATGAGTTCTCGACCAAGTGGCTGAAGGAAAGGCTGGACTCGCAAGTCCATGCAGTATTCTTGCTATAGCCCGGGGAGTAAATTTCACATGTGAATTGGTTTGGAGAAAAACCTGGTGCATCCATGCCGTTAAGTTTGGTTCAATAAACGATCGATGGGTATAAGGAGTGAGGTTGAGAGTTACCTTTATATCAGCTCGCAAAAATGAACTGCAAAAACCGAAAAATACATGTCCACTTGAGTTAAGCTATAGTTCAAATAACCACAATGCATTTTCCAAACAGAACCGGAGTAAGATCTACGAATATATATATATATATATATATGCACTTTGTTTCAGTTTGATCTAGCTGGTTTAAACATTATGTGGATTCGGAAACAATTGTTTTGTACCTGTTTTGGTCAGATTGAATGGGCACTTGAGCATTGAGATCAGTATCATCTTCGCCATTGAAGTACTCAACAATCTTCCTTTCTAAATACGATGTGTGTTGGTCCTTTTGGCAACCATGACCGCTGCTTAACTCTTTTGCAGCAAACGCTGCGGCATAATACATTGCAGCTAATTTCTGGACCTACGGGATTACAATTTTATTAAACTTCTTTCTACTGACATGAAGAAGCCCCGAGAGCCCTTCACAACAATATAGGTCACATACTAATAGAAAGGAGTGAGAGAGGAAGGCCAGAAACCAACAAATTGTGTTGAAACAACTAATCACCTTACAAGTTTCAACATCGCCGAGCCACTTCGTTATCTGGGTTGCCAAAGAACAAATATCCTTCGGAGCGTTCACAGTTCTATAACAGAAGGCCTGATCCTTCATCTCATATGTGATTTCACCCTTCAGCTGAAAAAGAAATGGGCAACTTTATCAAAGGTAAGTCCAAATCTACAAGTGATTATTGAAGTTGAAGTATTCTTTCTAAACAAAGGAAATGAACATGCAAAAGGAATAGTACTAGAAACATGCTTTTCGGGTAATGATGTTTAAGATTAACTTCCAGCCACTACATTTGAGAAAATTATGCATTAATACACAATACTCAGATTTTAATTTTCATCTAAGCCTCTGCTTCACATATAAACAGAAACATTTGTTGTAAACATAGCTAGCGTACAGATTAAATTTAATCAGATCTTAACAAGGGTAGATGAAACTTATTGCAACAAATAAACAGAAAAATTTGTTCCAATAAATGATTATCATCAGTTGTTGGCAGGGTCAGAGAATGAATGAATAGTTAACCTAGTTTTCTCTAACTTTGAAGCAGATAAAAAGATATTGAAACTAGAGAGATCTCACAAACCTTTAGACTCAGCAAGTGACTTGTTAGGTCAATTGCTTCCATTCCAAGGACATTGGCAACGGATGGAATGTGAAATACATACTGCCCGTCTTTCATCTCAGACCTGTTTCATGAGGTCCATTTTGAGTTAAAGACATAGGCAACTGCTAGAGCGAAGAGAGAAGAGTGATGAGTGTTCTCACTTCTTCAAGATTGCTGCAACCACAATATCTTTAGCTGCTAGTTTTAATGGTGAAGTCTGCATTTCGAGTTTTTCATTGAGGTATCAGGCATGCTATTGGTAGCTTGGCGGGTTAGAATCAACAGAAAAACAATAAGGTTTGTTTGTTTCAAGACAAATAACTGGGGGATATAACTGACCAACAAAATTATAGACAAAAGGCATGGACATAGAGTTTTAGAGAAGATTGATCTGCTGACCTCATGAAAATTCAAAGCACAAGTTACATTCATCTGTGGAAGCAAATGAATGTACTGCCCTTCACCCAATTCTAACTGTGTCAAAATTGTTAGAATTACCTACAAACCCAAGAAATAAAGGTGAACAACCATCATGAAAATAAGTTGGATATAGATATCAGTTCAATTTATACACGTGCACCTGAAAGTCCGCAGTTTTATATATCAGTTTAGAAATTTACATATACTTAGGAAAAACAGAGTAGTTCATTTGAGGAGAAAAGAGTCATCACTTTCAAGAAAAAGTGGCTTCAAGTTCAATGTGCAGGACACTAAAGTCCAGGATTTGACAGAAAATAGCAAAAGAGAAATAAAGCAAGATGAATGGACATTTTGAAGCAAAAACATAAGCATGAAGGACCTCTTCTTTCATGTCAAATTTCTGGGATGCTGATTCCTTTACTAGTGAACAGATGTCTCCACTTGGAAGCCCATCACTCATAAAGACTTGACAAAGCAATTTGTTGACAGTATATTCATCCACACCATCACTGAGAAACAAAAGTGTTAGCAAAATGTATAGATCAAACAGCAAAAACAGAATTGATCTCAAATCAGTCCAGTTAGCTAGCTACCTGTACATTAAACTTCGAAGCTTAAAATATGTGCCATCATCAAAAAGAAGATGACAGTAAGAAACTCTACCATCACGCCCAGCACGGCCGATCTCCTGAATCAATAATAGAATGCTTAAACTTTTTGCATTTCAAAAATGAATTATTATTTTGATTTGAGTTAGATAGAAGGAATTGCATGAAATGTGAGTGACCTGGACATATTCTTCCAGGCTTCCTGGTATGCTATAATGAATAACCTGAGACAAGCAAGCATCAGAATACTGTGGCCGGGAATTTGAAAATAAAGAACTAAAAGACTTGACATATTGGTTTTCTTCATTTAGCGAGTTCCATTCACAAAATAGACTAACTAGAATCCCCAGAAACCTGCAAGCATTAGTTATTTGGTTTGTTAACCCGGGAAATTACTGTATATTGTTCCTGAACAATGTTACAAGTTGGTTGTTGGCAATGGAAAAATAGATGGAGCAGTTAGGGTCCTTGCAAAACTATGCAACTCAATAAAATAAATTGTCATGATCATTTCCTTCTACATCTATTGATAGAAATGATCACCACCCAAAGATACAAAAAAGGAACAGTAAAGTTTTCTTACAGCTCCAACATCACTTTTATCAAGTCCCATGCCGAATGCCACAGTTGCAACAATCTTCATACACAGAGAATGCAAATCAGAAAGTAATTTTTTATACATTATATAAAATGAACAAATAGCCTAGCAACAAATGAAGATACTATACTTCTTACCACTTTAATTCGGTTTGAACAAAACAAATCCTGTGTACGACTTCTTTCTTTTGCAGGAATGCCACTGTGATAACTCTGAAAATAAATAAATGAATAATGTCTTCAGTTGAATAGCCACTAGCCACATATGCAAGTGAAGAAATTTCCGAAGATGGTAAAAACCTGATGTTCTGACTGTATGAAGCATACAAGTGCAACTAACCTTTGCAGAAATGTTGTTATCACACAGATACTTGCTAATCATGTCAGTCTCAGACTACAAAACCAGAATGAGGGAAAGAAGTTATATGCAGGTCAAAATTCATGCGACTATATAAATGACGTCAAGCCAATCAAGTTAATCTTAACGTGGGGAAGCTGAATTCATTTATATATGCTGTTTTTGGTGTTGAAAGACTACCTGGAATTTACAGTACACAATGATGCTTTTGATATCTGAATATGGAGATGTCTTAAGTAGTGCCATCAAATCTTTTAGTCTGCAATTTTGATTAAGTATGGGATGTTAAATTCAACATGCAAGGAATTCATTGTTAATAAAGTTAGGGCATGTGCACATACCGATTCCCAGTTATAGATACTGAAAGATGGAGATTATCCCTTACTTTGGGCGAATGGAAAAGGGATGTGGGAGGAATCTCCAAAGCATGCATGACATCGCACAATGTTTTCTTAGTTGCAGTTGCAGTCATTGCAAGAATGCATCTTGCATTCAGCCTACCACGAAGTAGGGAAGCTCTGAGCCTCATGTATGAAGGTCGGAAATTGTGTGACCTGTCAGAAACTTTCAAGTGCATGAAATCTTATAGCATTGCTATTGTTCTAAAATAATGTTAGGGAAAACAATACAAGTACAGAAATGGTAAGCAAGTAAAGTAAATAGAAAAGGAAAAATGGAAAGCCATAGATGAAGTATGCAAAAGAGGACTTACCACTCTGAAACACAATGGGCTTCATCGATAACCACAAGAGATAATTGCAAAGAGCCAGAAAATAAGGAAAGAAACTCTGTATTAAGAAATCTTTCCGGCGCAACAAACAGAACCTGTGACATAGATTAGGACAAAGTCATAATCTTAGCTTGAGAAATATATCGCATGATTGACAGGACTCCATGAGCGTGAATCCCACCAAAAATTTCAGAATTACGATATCAAACGGCCCTAGCAACACTAACATACTGTAATCGAGGAAACTAATATCAATTTTACTGGCGTTGATATAACAAATAATAGCAATGGATTTGTCCACACGTATAAAGACATAAACGAACCTTTAAAGCTCCTTCTTCGAGCAACTGGAGTGTTTCCGAAGACTCTTCTACTGTCTACACAACAATCAGTATAAACAGAGTTAATGGAAAGCAGCAAGGCCAAGTAAAAACTCGAAAGACGACAAGGACAACCTGACTGCTGGACAAAAAACCACCGGGAATCGCAGGAGGAAGATGCCTCAGCTGATCGATCATCAAAGATACTAAAGGGCTCACCACAAGTGTAACTCCTGGCAACACCAATGCAGGCAACTGATAACACAAGGACTTGCCTGCACCAGTTGGAAAAACCAGCATTGTGGATTTCCCAGAGAGCACCATCTTTATAGCCTCCAACTGACCATCCCGAAAGAAATCATAGCCATGCGTCAATTTCAATAAATCCAGTAAGTTCTCATCGGATGCCTCATTTCTAACCCTTACTACAGCTTCTTTGATCAGACCTTCATCGAATTTTGCTTCCCCTTGTCCTTTCCCAAGATCCACTGCAAAACCTTCTTCATCCAACACAACTCCTTCTTCCCGTCCCTCTCCACCACTTCCATTGCGTTTTCTGTAATATTTCCGGCGCTTGTATGATGAACTAGCGCCAGTTCTTTTGTTTTTGAAAGTAAACTTTTTTCTCCCATAGCCATTGATATTCAACCTCACGAAATTCCCCTCACTAGTGCTTTTATGCTTTTTAGCTGGCAAAACATCGAAATCTTTACCTCCGATTAAGTTAAGATTTTTTCTCAGCTTCTTCGCCTTCAAATCCTTCTCGGCGACTTGTTCTTTCACAATGTCCCTCGAACCATCACTTGCAACAAGAGCCTCGGTTTTCAACTCGACCGAATCATCGGTCTCGAAATCCAATTTTTTATCCTGAGCTTTCAAAAACGATGCGAACCTCGATGCGCTGTGTCCCCCGTGAAGAAGTCCGTCGCCGGAGACCTTGCTACTTTGCGAATCGAGTGATTTCTTAATTTGAAACGGCAGATTGGAGGTGATTGGAGAGATGCTCGTTGGTTCTGACTGGATTGGCTCGGCTTGTGGAGGCGGTTTTTCGCGTTTCTTCGAGATTTTGGGATGTAATATAGCTCTGGAGGTGAAAGCAGAGGTTTTAGTTCTTGATTTGGCAGAGGAGAGAAGAATTTCCCTGCACGACGGCGTAGGAAGATGAACGGCGGCCTGCGGCGGCGAAGATGGAGGAGTGGCAGAGATGTGAGAGCCATCGGAGTCTGAATCAGAGTCCATGGAGTAGAGGTCCAGGGCAAACTTCTGTTGTTAACAGGTGACTTTCCCGCCAATTCTGAAATGAGATTGGGATTATATACTTGATGGCGATTAGGGGTGTGTTTGTTCGAAGGATTTTGGTGGATTTCCACTATTCATCCAATTTTTTCCCTCAAAAATATCAAATTAAATACCTATTTTTTATTTTTTATATTATACTAAAAATCAATTTTACATTCAAAATATCACATCAAACCCTATTTATATCACATCATACAACTATTCAAATTCAAAATTTTTACTATTCAAATTCCAACTCAAAATCCAAACTCCAAACAAACACAACCCTAGATGGACTTGGATAGGTTGGGCAGGAAGGTAAGTCCATTTGGGTTGGGATTATTGGACTAGATAGATTGGGCTTTAATCGGGCCTGATAGTGATGGACTGGGCCTTCTTAGATTAGTTTGGATGTGATGGGCTATTTGTAAGGCTGAGCTAGTCCACATATGTTTGGGATGGACTTTTGTGGTTTGGGCAAGGATTGCTTCGGCCTCTTGTAATTGACTCAATGAATGGGGCTGGCTTATCAAATATAGTTTATATTGGGCCTAGTTGAAATGGGCCTACATTGGTCGGCTGAAATATGTTTTGATTGGACCGGCTGAATTAGACTAGCTAAATGAGCTAGATTAACTGGTTCAAGTCAATTTTTAAAATTAAAAATTGTCACGCAAACGGCAGGAATACAGTTCGGGGTAAAATTTTTATTCGTATGAATAATACATCTAACACTTTCCATTCAAATAATTATGTCACTATTTTGGAAGGAGATTGGGTGCTAATGGTTTAAAATCAGCACCTATGCTGATAACGTAAATACTGTTATACAAAATTATATTAATTAAATAGTTTAATCAAATAAATTAACATAACTAATTTTTACATGGTCAGCATGTAAAAATCAATACCCAATCCACTACTATCATTTATTTATTTATTTCAGTTAAACCTACGTAGTTTTAAGTTTTATCATCTTTATATCATTTATTATACTTACTCGACTATTTATTAGGTATGTATCTCATTTTAATATTAAACTAATATTATTTTTTATCTCCATGTTCAACCAAATAAGTATAAAAATATAGAATGAAATGAATATTGAATATAAAAAGTGAGTTTAAAATATAGTAAAAATGGAAAATCAGATATAAACTAAATTCGAAAATACTTATTTATCATAATTTTTAGTACGACAATGGCACCAAAAGTTTAATATATACCAAACCAATACGAAAAATAAACTAAAATTAAATTAAGTAATAGTATTAATATACTTGTGTCATTTTTTTTTAGTAATATTCAGTATTTTTAGTCAGGTAATATACCTATATAAAGAAAATTTAATAGTTATAACTATTTTATAATTCAATTAACTGTTTGAAACTTATAAAGAAATAACCATACAAATATATAAGTTTGAGTGAGCAACGGCTACACTCGATTTACAACATTTATTTTATAGCACCGGTGTACAAGTAGGACGAATCAAAGTAGTTCTCGTCCACGATCACAAAGGATCTAATCAATCATAACAGATTAATCAACTAGGGAAGCACAATGTTCACTTCTTACACAGTCATAAATTAAATCACCTAAAATAGTGAAGTAGATAAACGATACAACCAAACAAAGCAAACTAAATCATCAACTTCGACATCCGTGCTTCCTTTTAATCTTGTACACCAAGAGCTCAATTCAAGCTATAGAATCATAGTAGTAATAGCATATAACTTGTGGAAGAAATGAGAGTGGAAGAAACATACCAAAAATAGAGTGAAAGAAGTAGCAAAAAGAAATATGAGAGAAAATCGATACGGAGATCGATTTGAGTATGAGGGAGGCGATACGGAATGACGCGATTGAAGTAATCGCCATAAACCAACTGTGCATATTGTGTGTTTATAATAGTGTGTGTGGATGAGAGTATATGTGTGAGGATGAAGATGGAGATGGAGATGAATAGTGTATTGTATATGGCAACGTGAGTGAATGAAAGAGGTCGACGACGGAGTGATGATTGACCTAGGGTGTGTGAAGATGAGTGATATGTATATATGTATATGTGGATCGAGGCTGACAAGACAGAAAGTAGGTTGAGCCCAAACAACCTAAAACAAATCAATCAAGTTATTAAAGCTTACAAAGGTAAGAAAGTGACTTACTATCCAAGCTTTTTGTGAGTAAATCAGCATGTTGATCATTGGAAGGAATGAAACGCATTGAGATGATTCCTTTGGAGATGTAATCCCTCACCATGTGACAGTCATTCTCGATGTGTTTAGTTCTTTCATGAAAAACTGGATTAGCAGCAATTTATAAAGTAGTTGTGTTATCAAAGAATAACGCAACAGCACTATCATGAGATACATTCATATCTCGAAAAATACCAAGCAGCCAAGTGATTTCAGAACAAGTTTGTGTCATTACCCTATATTCAGCTTCAACTGAAAATCGAGAAAACATGGATTATTTTTTACTCTTAAAAGAGACTAACAAATCTCCAAGGAACACACAAAATTCGGTTACATATTTTCTTGAGATTAGACAAGATGCCCAATCTGAGTCACAAAAAGCCTTAAATAGCTGTTTATCACTCTTTGAAAACAACAGACCTTGTCTAGGACAGCCCTTTAAGTATTTCAAAACTTTGAGAGCAGCACACAAATGAGACTATTTGGGCTTGTGCATAAATTGACTCAGGACTTGAACTGGAAAAGCTATATCATGCTTAGTCTAAGTAAGGTAAATCAGCTTGCCAACCAACGATTGTCGAGTTATAAATTTTGTTCTATAGGAACTAAAGAAGGCTTGCAGACTAGCAACCCAAACTCAGAGATTAATTCAAGGGAGTATTTTCATTGAGGAAAAAAAAAATCTCCTCACTACACCTGAAGGCTTTTATCCCCAAAAAACAACTAACAACACCTACATCTTTGATTTTAATTTATTGTTCAGAAATTTCTTGAATTTAACAATCTTCTCAATGTTATTCCCTGTTGCAAGTATATCATCAACATAAACTAAAACTATAACAACCAGATTACTTTCAATTTTGACAAACAATGAGTAATTATGGAGAGGCTGTTTGAAGCCGAACTTAACCATTGTTGATTTCAATCTTCATTGCCTCAAGGCTTACTTCAATCCATATAATGACTTCCTTAAAGAGAATATTTACCTTGAAATATTTTTGAATATTCTTCAGGGGGAGTGATATAGACAATTTCATGAAGATCACCATGTAAAAAAACATTGTTTACGTCTAATTGAAAAATTTCTCAACCTCTATTAACAACAACATACATGACACAACGAACAATGGACATTTTGACAATGGGAGAAAATGTTTCATGAAAATCTATGTTTTTTTTTTTTTACTAAAACCCTAAGCAACTAATCTAGCTTTGTATCGTTTGATTGTTCCATCGGAGTTATATTTGATATTAAACACCCACTTACAACCAACTGGCTTCCTATCACAAGACAAATAAAAAAAGAACCCAAATTGTGTTATCAACAAGGGTTTTTTATTTCAAGGTCCATAGCCTCTTTCAACTTAGGATCAAGTATGGTTTCCTCGACTGCTTGAGGCTCAACCAGGCTGTCCAGATTAGCCATCAAGCATAAACTCTCATTAGAAAAATCACTTGGAGGACAACAAACTATACTTAAAGGATATTTAACAACAACACTGTCTATTGAAAGTTGGTAATCTTGCCGATAGGTAGGAGGACAATGTTTTCTATTTGATTGACGCCTGTTAGGACATACCTCAGATATTTGAGTTATTTCCATGACATGTTGAGGTTCACAGACTTCATTTGTGTTGCTATCATTGGTAGCACCTGGTTGTTCATTCAATGGGAGTTCTTGAAGACTATCCAAATGTGTTCCCAAATGATTGCCTTAAAAAATGTCAAAGAATTCATCATAGGCAATACTGATAGGGCTAGACTTTGGAATGCACTGATGTAATCTATTTGTTAAGCTACCAAAGTGGAAAGAACACACAGATTCACAAAATTTAACATCACATGAGACAAAGACTGTGAAGGTTTCAAGGTCTAGGACCTTTTAACCTGTTGTATTCTCAGCATAGCCAATAAAGCAACAACGAGTTGCCTTGGGATGAAATTTTTTAAAAATATTCAGGTTAGTTGCATAGCAAAGGCCCCAAACACTCTTAAGGTGTTTAAATCTTGCTTCCGTCCATGCACAACCTGAAAATGACTCAATTCATCAAAGCAGTGGAGTAGGAAACCTATTTATCACGTGAACAACAGCAAGCACACAATCCCCCCAAAAGTTAGCAAGACAACGACTTTGAAACATGAGAGCCATGACAACATTCAAAATATGCCTATGTTTGCGCTCAACAACACCATTCTGCTGAGGACTTTAAGTGCATGATGTTTGATGCACTATGCCACAGTTACTAAACAAATCAGCTATGCAAGAGTTCATAAATTTAGTTCCATTGTCAGACCTAAAGATCTTGACAGTCTCACGAAACTTTTTTTTTATCGAGGCAAGAAATTGTGTTAAGCACATGAAAACTTCGGACTTACTCTCCATAAGGAAGACCCAAGTCCCACGAGAGAAATCATCCACAAGTGTTAGAAAGTATTTGAAAACATCTATGGTTTCAGTGTGATAAGGTCACCAAATATCACAATGGACAAGGTCAAACAGACTTTTTGACTTATATGTATTGTGGGGGAAATGTGTTTTAGTTTGTTTTTCCATATGAGAAATGTCACAAACTAGTTCAGACGTGCTAGACAGACCAAGATCTTCCTTAAGTAAATCAAACACTTCCGATGAGGGGTGTCCAACGCGATAATTCCATAAGGTATATTTATTAGTAGTTCCAACATTGGACCTAGAATGTGTCATCGAAGAAAGTTGAGTGTTGTGTATTTTGTATGGACCTCCATAGTACTCAGTTGTTGCTACAATACTTCCATCTAAGGCATTTTGAATGACACAAGCACGTT